TTTAAAATAAATCGGTGACTTGGAACACCGTAATTTATTCCAAGTGGCGACTCTGAAATCAAACAAATGATCCCATTTCGAATAATGTCACTTAAAGTGGAAAAACACCCTTATATCCTTTACGGGGTGTAGAAAGGAGGTGTGACAGCGATGGCGACTCTGCTGGGGACATAACCCAGAACTTCTGTTCAGGGTTTAGAATTCGAGCTTGTAATGTGATCTATGCTTGGCTTTATTAATTTGATGCTATTACTGTATTTTTGAGCCTAAATGTGCTAATTGCCGCTTATTTACCGCTTTGATATTATTTGAATTGTATTAAACTGTCTTCTCACGCCTCCCTTCTGAGTCTTCTGAATTTATGGTGCACACGTGCGCGTGGCCCACTTTTCTGTTAGAAGTCATACCAATTAGAACGAGGTTGGGTCAAGTAACTAGGCCGGGTAGACTTTCGTGCTCCCGGTAGGTTGCCCCCACCTCGGCTCGAGCTGTCCGCTTGGGTAAGCCAGGTCTAAAACACTCCCCCAGTATTTAAACCTAGAATAACATAGCCTCATGCCGGATCCCTAGTAGGAACGTTTGTTTGCATCATGTGCATTTGACTTTGGGGACTCAACACAGGGGTTGGGTCCGTCTAGGACAGGTGTACCCGAGAATTGCAAGACCATCTTGATGCATCTTATGTGCTACTTGTGCATTATGTTTGATTCGGCTTGTGCATGTTGACCGGTTTCTAAAAAATAATAAAATAAAATATAAAATATAAGAATTGAGGGAAAACCAGAAGGGAGAAAACATTAGAGAGAAAATTTACCCGATTTTTTTTTAAAACAAAAAAAGTCTCGGTATTTACCCCAAACTATTATTACAAAATAAGCCTGAAATTTTTTTTTTTCTTACAAAAAGAAAATGTCGTCCTATTCCTGAAACGTTTACGAACTACGCGGGTCTGATTCTCATCGGATGTGAGATACGTAGGCAACTTCCATAAGGGTTCGGCCCCATTTTTCAAAAAATAAAGAAAAGAAATGTGTCTAGTGTTTTTTTTTAATCAAAAACAAATAAGCAGACCCAGTTTCGGTCAATCCCCAACCGTTTTGTCGGAATAGCCTTAGAAAATCCTCAAAATAGCATCACTTTTACTATCATCTTTGGAAGTATGAAGGAGCCTTAATTTTAAAATTAGCCACCCTCTCTTTGATTTTTCTTAAAATAAAGTTATATACAAAAGATTTTTTTTTCTTTTTAAAAAAATGAGTGCATTGGTTTTTGTCTTCTAAGGCTAGTGTCAACCCTAACCTTAATCACCCACAGGTACAAAATGAGCACTATCCAGAATACACCGTTGACGGTTGTAGATGAGTCTCTACTTCAGCTTCAGATGTGGTGGTATGACTTAGGAGAAGATGGTCAGAAATGGGTTACTAAGTATTTGGGAGCCCTCACAGATATTATGAAAGTTAAACCGCGCGATGATTTGATTGCGGCTTTAGTGACTTTTTGGGACCCTGTTCACAATGTCTTCCGCTTTTCTGATTTTGAGCTTACTCCCACTTTGGAAGAGATAGCTGGATATTCCGGTTTCGGCAGGGATTTGAGAAAACGGAAGCTCATATTCCCGAGGGCTCCCTCTGTACATCGATTCTTTGAGCTTCTAAACATCAGTAATCAAATCAGAAAGACTAACGTAGTCAACGGGTGTTGTTCTTTCAACTTCCTATATTCTAGGTTCGGGAAGCCAGATGGGTTTGAAATTCATGAGAAGGGCCTTACCAACAAGCAGAACAAGGACACATGGCAGGTTCACCGTCGTTTCGCCTTCATAGTGGCGTTTCTAGGGATTATGGTCTTTCCAAACAAAGAGCGGGCAATTGACATTCGCATAGCCAGGGTCGTACAAGTTCTCACTACCAAAGAACATCACACTCTTGCCCCGATCATTCTATCAGACATTTATCGGGCTTTGACTTTGTGTAAGTCCGGGGAAAAATTCTTCGAAGGGTGCAATATTTTGTTGCAAATGTGGTTTATTGAACATCTCCGACATCACCCCAAGTTCATGTGGTATTGTCCGAGCAAGGACAATGTCATTGAAAGTTACGAAGAAAGAATAAAAGATTATAATTCTCCAGAAGGGGTGGAAGCCTGGATATCCCGCCTAAGATCTTTAAATGCAAGTCAAATTGAGTGGACTTTGGGATGGCTCCCGGTAAGAGAAGTAATATACATGTCCTCCTTAGAGAGTTATTTGCTGCTGTTGGGTTTGAGGAGTGTCCAGCCGTATGCTCCACAGAGAGTTCTGAGACAGCTAGGGTACCAAGTGATGCCTGATGACGAAGATTTGAGTGTGCAAGTGATTGAGCTACACCCTGAAGCCCCAATCCCCGAGGCTTTAATCCAAGGGATATGGAATGGTTGTCGCTACTTGAAAGATGGTACCCAAGTCCCAGATCCTGCGAAAGGTGAGATAGATCCGGGTTATGCTAGGTGGTTTGAGAAGAGATCTCGCGTGGATGATGAGCCAGAACCCGAGCCCAAAAGGCCCATAAAAAGGCCGCATGTTCAAGCCTTCGATGATAAAATCCAAGAACGATTGGCTTGGGGTGAAAATGAAAAGGGATACAAAGCAACTATTCACGCCTTAGAAGAAAGCCTAGCGAAACTCAATTTTGAGAAAGACTTACAAGCACAAGAAGCAGAAGGTGAAAAGAAGAGTCTGATTCACGAGAATGAAGCCCTCCGTGTTCGGTTTCAACAGATGAAGAAAGCCTCTGAAGTGCCAGTGAGAAGTTGGAAAGACCAAAGAACCATTGCCAATTTGTTTGAAAAGATGCAAGATTATGACTCCATCTTGGCAAAGACTGAAAAGGCATTGGAAAAAGCTAATGAAAAAATCGCACAGTTAAATGAGGAGGCCAAATCTAGCAAGGATCACCAAGTGACAAAATCTGAAGAAGATAGGGCTCAATTCAAGAGAGAAAAGGCCCATTGGGTTCGTTCAGAAGCTCAACTCCATGCACAGTTGGAAGAAATCAGGAGGTACAATAGAGAACATCAGCAGGTAGATATTGATAGGGAGAGAGCCCAGGCGGGACTCGAACAGGCTAGACTTCGTGCTCAGTTGGAGTCAGCTTTAGATCGCGAGGCCCACAAAGAGAGATAGCTACCACTCGCCAGCAGCAGTTACAAGATCAAGACCAGAATTTCCAGTACTTCAGAGAGCAAATCCACGATTTGGCTGTTTATACCGCTCAGAGTTATGTGAACTGCCAAGAAATGGATTATGAGAAGTTTTTGGAGCATGCGCCTACTTTTGCCCGTCATCTTGCAGCAGAGCTAGAGAGGATGTACCGTACATTGGGGGGTCAGCCAGGTCAAGCCCCACCATGAGCAGATGTTCCAGTGGTTGAAAGCAGAAAAAATTTTATGGAGTTGAAGCTTAGTCATAGTTGTTAGAACCTTTCATGTAGTAGTCATGTTTTAGTTTGAGTCATTATTAAGTCCTTTAAATCATTGTTTTTAGTCTTGTCAAAGTTTGTTCAGTCGTGTTCGATGTAATGTCCTTTCTGTCATTGCATTCTTTATTTTATTTCCACTTTGTTTTAAAAAAAAAATACATCAACTATTGTTTTTCTCTCCTGAACTACGTGATGGTCTGATTCATGCGGCGTCATGATACGTAGGCAATCCTCATCGGATGCGATCATAGCCATAATTAATCTAAAAAAAAATGAAAAAAAGCAGTAAGGAAATAAAACCAACAAACCGGGATGAAGCATGAAGCCTTCCAAAATCATTTTAGAAATGAAAATGGTATTAGGTGCATGGCATACAATGTGTGATTAATATCTGAAAAATCCCTAACTCTAACACGTTTGTTGTTGAAATTTAAGAAATAAGGTTAAACAGAGGTGGTTGGTTTGTGGTTTAAACTGGCGACTCACCCTTACAACACGAGGTCAAAAGGAAAAGATAGAATGGGAAACAACAGTGAGAATGAGTCGGATAATGATGATGTTCGTGGACAATTGGTCGAACAAGGTTCGGGATTGGCTGAAGAAGTAAGAGCGTTGAAACAACAAATGGCAGATATGTACCAAGCCTGGGTGAATGGACAAGCACCGCCCTCACTACCCCCGGGGCCTCCGGATAATCTTCATAATGTGTCAGTTGCAAATCAAGTGCCTATCTCCATAATAAGTAACCCATTGTACCAACCTGGATTCAGTCCAAGCATTAACCTCCCCACTATCCCCAGCACCTCCACTTCACGTCCTCCAGCCGCACCCTTCAGAAATGACCCACATACCGTACCCATTGTCCCTACTTTCACCATCCCTCAACCGGCTCTCGCTCAAAAGCTCAACAATGATCCACAATTGAATGATCATGACACCCAGCATTACTCTCCAGAACTGACTTTCAAGGTTCCAGATTCATACAAGCATACTCCTCAGTACGTGTCCCCAGTCGACATCGAAAAGCCCAATAAGAATATGGAACAAGAGGAAATGACCAGAAAAATGAAGAGTTTGGAACAAACCATGAGAAACATACAGGGTTTGGGAGGCCACAAGAGTGTTTCGTTCAATGATTTATGCATGTTCCCCCATGTTCATTTGCCACCTGGATTCAAGACCACTAAGTTTGACAAGTATGATGGTCACGGTGATCCTGTGGCCCACTTGAAGAGATACTGTAACCAATTGAGGGGAGCAGGGGGCAAAGAAGAATTACTCATGGCTTATTTTGGGGAAAGCTTGACGGGAATTGCTTCAGAGTGGTTCATAGATCAAGACGTCTCTCACTGGCACGTTTGGAATGACATGGCTCAAGATTATGTCCAACAATTTCAGTACAATATTGATATTGTGCCAGATCGCTCCTCTCTTGTCAACATAAAGAAGAAACCGACAGAAAGCTTCAGAGAATATGCAGTCAAGTGGAGAGAGCAGGCTGCTAGGGTCAAACCACCAATGAAAGAGGCAGAAATGATTGACTACTTTCTCCAAGCTCAGGATCCTGATTACCTCCATTATATGTTGGCCGCCATTGGTAAGCCTTTTGCTGAAGTGATTAAAATTGGGGAAATAGTTGAGAATGGCATGAAGTCGGGCAAAATGGTGAGTCAGGCAGCCCTTAAAGAAACCACGCAAGCAATTCAAAGCGGGTCAGGCAGTTTTGGAAATCGAAAAAAGAAGGATGAAGGATCCATGATGGCATCTGGATTCGGGGAAGTTCAAAGAGGAATAGTTCCTTCATACGTGCAATTTCAACAAGGACAGTCCGATTCTCCTCAACATTATTATCCGCCTCAGGGTCCTCGATACTCAGTTCCCCCGCAACAATACACGGTGTTTAATGCTCAGGCTTATGCTAGGCCTCCCAATCACCAACAATGGCGAGCACCGATTCCACAAGGCGCCCGTCAACTCCGGCCGAATTTTCAGGCGCCATATAATCCTCGTCCCAGACAGGAATATGTTAGAGAACAGGAGCCAAAGAAAGAGTTCACCCCAATTGGAGAATCGTACACAAGCCTATTTCGAAAGTTGATGCAGCTAAAATTGATCGAACCTATCATGCCACGTTATGTGAATCCAAATTCAAAGGGTTTTGACTCTAACGCAAGATGTGAGTATCATTCTAACACCCAAGGTCATAGTACCGAAAATTGTTGGACATTAAAGAAAGCCATTGAAAATTTGATTGAAGCAAAGGCAATTGTGGTGACAAACAATGAAGATACTCCTAATATCACAAACAACCCGCTCCCAGTTCATGATAATACACACTTTATTGGGATGATTGGTGATGATCGTGACTATAAATAATCTGGAAAGACAGAGATGATTGTTGGAACCATAGGGCCAGAGCCAAAAGTGATAGTACGCCCGCCGCAATTGGCACCGCTTATTGTGAAAGGTGCAAGCTCTAGTTCAAACTTGGCAGGTTCTGAAAAAACGGTTCTCTATGTCCCTGGAAACACAAAAAAGATTGAGGTTCAATTAGGTGGCCCAAAACTTTATATCCCTGGGGGCATTCAAAAGATTGTTCCAAATAATGCCTTAAGAAATATAACAGAGCCGGTTGTGATCCGACCTGTTGCACAACTTCTAGTGTCAAACCCAAAAGCTATTCCCTGGAACTATAACAAGACTGTCATGACATACAAAGGAAATGAGATAGTGGAAGAAATAGATGAAGTGGGAGGCTGGACTCGCTCTGGAAGGTGCTACTCGCCAGAGGAGTTGAGAAAAGTTAGGCAAGCCAAGGAAAATCACTTTCCAGTGAAAGAAGCTATTTCAGAAAAAGAAGCGGAGGATTTCCTTAAAAAGGTGAAAATGCAAGACTACTCAATCATTGATCAACTAAGGAAAACCCCTGCTCAGATATCTTTGTTATCTCTGCTTTTGCACTCAGAAGAACATCGCCGTGTGTTGATCAAAACTTTGAATGAGGCATATGTCCCAGAAAAGACAACGGTGAATCAGTTAGAAAAAATGGCTGAAAGATTCTTTGAGGTGAACAAAATTTCTTTCAGCGATGACGATTTGCCTGAGGAAGGGGCTGGGCACAATAAAGCTTTGCATCTCATGGTCAAATGTGAAGGCCATTACGTAAAAGGGGTCATGATTGACGGAGGTTCAAGTGTAGATGTATGTCCTCTTTCTATTCTACAACAACTGAACATTGACTCTGACAGAATTCGGACTAGTAATACCCGCATCAGAGCTTTTGATGGTTCAAAAAGAGATACTATTGGGGAAATTGAACTCACTATGACAATTGGCCCAGTTAATTTTAACATTGTCTTTCAAGTTTTGGATATGAAAACCTCCTATAATTTTCTTCTGGGAAGGCCGTGGATCCATATGGCCAGAGCTATACCATCCACCCTACATCAGATGGTCAAATTCGAATTTGACGGGCAAGAAATTGTTGTTCATGGGGAGGACGAGTCCTCCGTCTATAATGACCCGTCTATTCCATGTATCGAGGCCAAGGAAGGATGTGAATCCCTCATATATCAAACATTTGAGGTAATTGAGGTAGACTAAGTGGAAGAAGGAAAACCAATTCTACAACCCCATCTTTCAGCCACATCTATGATGGTAGCCTCATTGATGTTGAGAAATGGCTATGAACCAGGAAAAGGATTAGGATCATTCTTGCAAGGAATTGTGAACCCCATTGCTCCCTTTTTGAAGAAAGATACCTTTGGCTTGGGTTTTAAACCAACATCGACTGACATAAACAGAGCCAAGGCCCGCAAAAAGAATGGTTGGAAATTGTCAAAACCAATCCCTCACATTGCCTACTCTTTTGTCAAGCCACAATTTGAAGAAGACCAAAATCCTTCTACTCAGGATGACATTGATGAAGTTTGCCAAGGTCTCAAGGAGATGTTCTATGGAATCAACATGGTTCAAGTCGGTGAGGGCCCTAGCCGTGCAAGTGTTCAGCTGATTGGTCCAGATACCTCGCTCAATAACTGGGAAGCAACTCCTCTACCCATCAGGAAGGAGTCTTGGTAGTCTGTTTTGTTGCTTTTTCTGTATTTGGATGATTTTTAGGGTTGTAATCCAGATATTTTTGTTTAATTGCTTTGCTTTGATGTTAACCCTTCTATCCTTTCAAATTCAATAAAATGAAGTTCCAGTTTCCTAGTAGAATTCTGTCTTTTCCTTTCCCTAATTTTGTTAATTTCTCATCATTGTCAGTTTCGCTGGCTTTAAAAGCATGACATGCACGCGGAATTCATGCCCAGATCTTAAAAAGTTGTCTAATCTCGAAATAATGAATCAAGAAGTTGAGTATGATGAAGATGAGGCCTTTAAGGAAATAAAAAGGGAATTGGATCAATTTNTTCAGTTTCGTTAATGCTAGCTTTAAAAACATGACATGCACGCGGAATTCATGCCCAGATCTTAAAAAGTTGTCTAATCTCGAAATAATGAATCAAGAAGTTGAGTATGATGAAGATGAGGCCTTTAAGGAAATAAAAAGGGAATTGGATCAATTTGAGAATAAGCCTAAGCCTAACTTAAATGAAACTGAGGCAATTAACCTGGGAAGTTCTGAAGAAATCAGAGAAACGAAAATAAGCATTCATACTGAACAAAGGACGAGAGATGCCATAATTCAAGTTTTGTTCGAGTATAGAGATGTATTTGCTTGGTCGTATGACGACATGCCGGGTTTGAGTGCTGAGTTAGTGGTCCATAAGCTTCCCACATATCCTAATTTTCCACCAATCCAACAAAAACAAAGGAAGTTTAAGACAGACATGAGTGATAAGATTAAAGAAGAAGTCACGAAGCAGCTAAGTGCAAATGTGATCAGGGTCGTCCGATATACTACATGGTTAGCAAATGTTGTTCCAGTGCCAAAGAAAGATGGGAAAATCAGAGTTTGTGTTGACTACAGGGATTTAAACAAAGCGAGTTCAAAAGACAACTTTCCCTTACCCAATATTCATACCCTTGTTGATAATTGTGCTAAACATGAGATCCAATCTTTTGTGGATTGTTATGCCGGGTATCGCCAAATTCTGATGGATGAAGAAGATGCAGAAAAGACCGCCTTCACCACTCCATGGGGAACCTATTGTTATAGAGTCATGCCATTTGGTTTGAAGAATGCAGGAGCAACTTACATGAGGGCTATGACTACCATGTTCCATGACATGATGCACAAAGAGATTGAGGTGTATGTTGATGATGTGATCATTAAGTCTAGAACACAAGATGATCATGTGCAAGACTTAAAAAAGTTCTTTGAAAGGCTACGAAGGTACAATCTCAAACTCAATCCAGCCAAATGTGCGTTTGGAGTTCCTTCTGGGAAGCTTTTGGGTTTTATCGTTAGTCGAAGAGGCATTGAGTTAGATCCCTCCAAGATAAAAACCATTCGAGAGCTACCTCCCCCGAAGAATAAAAAAGAAGTCATGTGTTTGCTTGGGAGGTTGAACTACATCAGCAGGTTCATTGCACAGCTTACAACCACATGTGAGCCTATTTTCAAGTTGTTGAAAAAGAACGCATCTATCAAGTGGACAGATGAGTGCCAAGAAGCTTTTGATAAGATCAAGGAATATTTGTCAAATCCTCCTGTCTTGGTCCCGCCAGAACCTGGCAGGCCTCTGTTTTTATATCTGTCAGTAACGGATAGTTCCTTTGGTTGTGTTCTGGGTCAACATGATGCCACAGGTAAAAAGGAACAAGCAATATATTATTTGAGCAAAAAGTTCACCACTTATGAGGCCAAATACACTCTTTTGGAAAGGACATGTTGTGCCTTAACTTGGGTTGCTCAAAAGCTTAGGCATTATCTTTTGGCATATACAACTTACCTCATATCCCGAATGGATCCCCTGAAGTACATCTTTCAGAAGCCAATGCCCACTGGTAGATTGGCAAAGTGGCAAATCTTGCTCACAGAGTTTGATATTGTTTATATCACTCGCACTGCCATGAAGGCACAAGCGTTAGCTGATCATCTGGCAGAGAACCCTGTGGATGATGAGTATGAATCTTTGAACACATACTTCCCAGATGAAGAGGCTAATTTAGTTGAAGAAGTAGTTCAACATGATAGTCAAATTTGGAAACTATACTTTGATGGGGCTGTCAATATTAAAGGCGTAGGGATTGGGGCAATTCTCGTATCACCTACTGGGCAACATTACCCTGCCACAGCGCGACTTCATTTCTTTTGTACAAACAACACGGCAGAATATGAAGCTTGCATCATGGGTTTGAACATGGCGATAAACCTAAATGTGCATGAACTATTGGTGATGGGAGATTCAGATTTGCTTATCCGGCAGGCTCAAGGTGATTGGGAGACTCGAGACATCAAGCTCATTCCATATAAACGATGCGTGGAAGATCTTAGCAAGAGATTCAAGTCCATCGAGTTCAGATACATTCCTAGGTTTCATAATGAATTAGCTGATGCCTTGGCCACCCTGGCCTCAATGCTTCCATATCCGGGTAATACTCATATTGACCCATTAGAAATTCAAATTCGGGATCAACATGGTTACTGCAATACAATTGAAGCAGAACTAGATGGTGAACCATGGTACTGTGATATTAAAAAGTTTCTGAAAACAAGAGAATATCCAGAACATGCTAATAGGGATCAAAAGAGAACTATTAGGCGACTCTCTAATGGTTTCTTTTTGAGTGGGGAAATCCTATACAAAAGAACCCCGGATTTAAATTTATTGAGATGTGTGGATGATAAAGAAGCTGAAATAATTATGAATGAGGTGCATTCGGGAGTTTGTGGTCCGCACATGAATGGATATGTTCTAGCAAAGAAGATCCTTCGGGCAGGATATTATTGGCTTACTATGGAGCGAGATTGTTTTCATTTTGTTTGCAAGTGCCACCAGTGTCAGATTCACAGTGATTTGATTCACTTGCCTCCTTCAGAGTTGTATCCTATGTCGGCTCCTTGGCCTTTTGTTGCTTGGGGAATGGACGTCATTGGCCCGATTGAGCCAAAAGCTTCAAATGGGCATAGATTCATCTTGGTTGCAATTGATTACTTCAAAAAATGGGTAGAAGCTATTACATTGAACGCAGTTACCAAGAAAGCAGTAGTAGACTTCGTTCACTCCAACATCATCTGTCGTTTCGGTATTCCAAAAACCATTATTACAGATAATGCAGCTAATTTGAATAGTCATCAGATGAAGGAGGTATGTGAACAATTTAAAATTGAGCATCGCCATTCTACTCCTTACCGACCCAAAGCTAATGGAGCTATTGAAGCTGCAAATAAGAACATCAAGAAGATTCTTAGGAAGATGGTCCAAGGG